ATAAACATGATATATACCAAAATTTAAGGAATCTCAAGGACTATACAGTTTAAAGTTTTAAAGAAAATCGTTAGAGCCGTTTTTGAGAAAATTAAAAAAAGCTAAAAAAAAGTTTAAACAAATTTTCTTTTGTTCATATCTTTTTAACTATTACATTTACACAAATTGCATATAGAAGGCGTTTATAGCATTTAAAAATACCTTTCAACCTGCAACACAAGTCTGTAGCTTTAGTAGTATAGAAGTTACGAATTTTAGCTATTTATAGCTGTTTTCCCGCTAAACTAGCGGGTTTTTCCAAAAGTGGTAGAACAAAAGTTTTTTATATCGATGAGATGAACGTCATATCAAATTTTCAGAACTTAAAAAACATATTTTGGACAAGTGGACAAACTGACAAACAGAATTAAATTTTCATTTTGGGAAGAAGGAGAAAATCTTATTTTGGCTATAACTTTTGAACGGAGCGTCGGATTTTGACATATGACCCCTCATTTGACGGGTATTTTTAAAAGAAATACAACTAAAACATTACGAGGGGGCATTTATCCCCACCGGCCCCAACAGCTCCAAATTTCCAGATTTTCACTTTTTCACTTTCACCGCTCTCTCTCCCAAGCCAACTGATTTTCTTAAAGTCTTAGTATGCAATCCTGTTAGTTTTCACAATACCTTTCGATAGGTGTATCATTCATTATGATCGGACCATCACAGTAGATTTTAATTTCTTCGTGTATATATAGTAGTCGCCTTCGCACACTCTCCTGATGCGCTTCGTCACTACATGGACTGCCGTCCATAGTGATATTTGATATTTAGTATATGCGTCCAGCCCTGGTCGTTTTTCGGTAAATTTTCCGAAAAAAGGAAATCTCTCGAATTTCTGTGACACCAAATGTTTTGGTCGGTTGGTTTCTAAACCAACCGTCCCCAAAACCGTTGACGGTTTCTGTGACACCCCTGAATATAATAATATAAATAGAATTTGTAGTATATTTTTATACCCGTTACTCGTAGAGTAAAAGGGTATATTGTATTCGTGCAAAAGTATGTAACAGCCAGAAGGGAGCGTTTCCGACCCCATAAAGTATATATATTCTTGATCAGGATCACTAGCCGAGTCGATCTAGCCATGTCCGTCTGTCCGTCTGTCTGTCTTTTTGTCTGTCTGTCTGTCTGTCCGTATGAACGCTGAGATCTCGGAAACTACAAAAGCTAGAAGGTTGAGATTTTCCACACATATTCTTGGGCTTCCTACACAGCGCAAGTTTATTTCAGCCGAGCGCCACGCCCCCTTTAACGCCCACAATCGCCCACTAACGATTTTAAGATGTGTCTGGCGGCCACACCTTTAAAGATTTCCGAGAAGTATAAATGCAATTTTGTTGTGTATATTTATACCTATCAAAATGTAGAAGACATTTTTCAAATCGGACCCATTCATTAATTAAAAAGTTATACGCAATCAAAAAAATGTTATCTCCCTCGCACTCCCTCTAGCCGAGTGACGGGTATTAGATAGTCGGCACACGAACCCGACTATAGCGTTCTCTCTTGTTTATGTTTATGTTTAGGTCTGGGAAATAATAAAAGAAACAGTATGAAATAAAAACAAGAAAGGAAGCTATGTACCTTCGGCCAGCCGAAGCTTATATACCCTTGTAGATAAAGTAATGCTTACTCGGTGCAGTTCCGGGAATTCCAATTTTGTTTTTAAGTAGTCAAGAATCAAAACGCCTACTTCCTACAAAGTTACAATGAACTTTCTTATATTTGTTATACCCTTGCAGAGGGTATTATGATTTCAGTCAGAAGTTTGCAACGCAGTGAAGGAGACATTTCCGACCCCATAAAGTATATATATTCTTGATCAGCATCACAAGACGAGTCGATCTAGCCATGTCCGTCTGTCCGTCTGTCCGTCCCTCTGTCCGTCTGTCCGTCTGTCCGTCCGTTTCTACGCAAACTAGTCTCTCAGTTTTAAAGCTATCGGGATGAAACTTTCGTAAAAGTCGTATTTCTATTGCAGGTAGTATATATGTCGGAACCAACCGGATCGGACAACTATATCTTATAGCTCCCATAGGAAGGATCAAAAAAAAAAACGTAAAAAAATTCTAGCTCCGGTGTTTTTTGAAATTTTACCTTTTACTCTTGGGAATATTTTTTTTTATATATTTCTGAATTTCGGTTTTTTTGTTTTTTAAATCGGATCACTATATCATATAGCTGCCATAGGAACGGTCGAAAAATTAAATGGAAATTAATGGGAAAAAAATTATATCTTTGTTGGTTTTTATTACATTCCCTTCTACTCTGGGATATGACTATTTTGAAATATTTCCGAATTTCGATTTTAATTTTTAAAAAATCGAACTACTATATCATATAGCTGTGATAGAAACGATCGAAAAATTAATGTGAAATAATAAGAAATTTAACATTTTTGTGATTTGTAAATTAATAGAATGATCTGCAAGGGTATATAAGCTTCGGCTTGCCGAAGCTAGCTTCCTTTCTTGTTTGAATTTTCCTATGGGAGCCTTAAGATATAGTGGTCCGATCCGGCTCGCTCCGACATATGTACTACCTGCGATAGAAAGAAGACTTTCGGGAAAGTTTCATCGCGATAGCTTTAAAACTGAGAGACTAGTTCGCATAGAAACGGACAGACGGACAGACGGACATGGCTAGATAGACTCGGCTATTGGTGCTGATCAAGAATATATATACTTTACGTGGTCGGAAACGTCTCCTTCACTGCGTTGCAAACATCTGACTGAAATTATAATACCCTCTACAAGGGTATAAACCTTTTTTAAGAGATAATTTAAAGGGAGAGCACATTTTGTAATAAAATGGAGAGATTAAATTTGATAAATATCTGTAACGGCTACTATGAAATTTTTCTCAAAATAAACGAAAAACCACTATTTTTCTTTTGCAATTGCGGAGGGTCAAACGTGATTTTCAGGGCATAATTTCTTAGACAATATAGCTCAGAAAGGCCCAGAGATTGTGTTCCGCCCAAACGATTTATTACTTTTTTTGCGTCCATTCCAGTGTATCAAATTTAGGGCTAAAGTGATAATTTTCATAAAATACTGGTTTAGGTTTAGGGCTACTGTGATATTTTTCATAAAATACTGTTTTTTTTTCTTTTGCAAATGCGGAGGGTCAAACTTGATTTTCAAGGCATAGTTCCTTTTGCAATGTTGCTTAGAATTATCCATAGAATACGTTTCCACCCTACGATTTATCATTTTTATTGACCCATACAAATCGACGCAGTCTAATGTACATATGGGCGGTTCTTTTACAAACCGAACACCTTTTCTTGGGTCACATTTTTGATATGCCTGAAACATTTTTTACTTGTACTATTCCAAAAATTAGTAAACACGTGTATCAGGATTTGGCCAAAAAAATAATTTTTTTTAAGAATTTATTTAGTTTGCCAAAAAACGTGAATTTTGAAAAAGTACCCTCTCATCATCTTATCGGATCCTTATGGAATTCATGTTTTCTCATCGTTTACTAGTCCTTTAACAATTTTTAATGATTAAAAGTTTAAAAGACAATTTCTGAATAACAACAGGAAAGACAGCTAGCTTCGGCCAGCCGAAGCTTGTATACCCTTGCAGATCGTTCTTATTAACTTACAATTCGCAATCGCTAGATCGACTCGTCTAGTGATGCTGATCAATAATATATGTACTTTATGGGGTCGGAAACGTCTCCTTCACTGCGTTGCAAACTTCTGTCTGAAATCATAATCATAGTCCGGACGCCCCTAACTAGAATACTAAAAAATTACACAACTTTCCTGAAAAATAGGTATTTATTTTCTAGAATCAAAGGCGATTTCACCATTAACTTAAGAAAATAGTCCGGAAAATATAGCCATGAATCCAATAAAAAATTCAACAACTCTTCTTCTTATTCATTTTTAAAAAAAGTTAATGGCAAATTTCCATAAGCTTAAGAAAAATTTTCTATATTTAAGAAAAAATTTTCTTAATTTAATGGCGTTTTAAAATTTTTTTCTGAGTGTACCCTATGCTTGGGTATAATAATAGATAAAACAAGAAAGAACCTTATAGTCGGGTGCTCCGACTATCAGATACCCGTTACTCAGGTAAGGGAGTGCGAGGGAGATAGAAAACTTTGATCACGCATAACTTTTAAACGAATGGTCCGATTTGAAAACTGTCTTCTACATTTCGATAGGTTTTCCGAAATATTTAAATTTTCAAAATCGTATACAAGGGATTGAGGGCGTAAGAGGGGGGTGGCACCTTCTTGAAACAAACTTGCGCTGCGTAGGAACTCCAAGAATCTTCAGGCCAAATAGCAATCTTTTGGCTTTTATAGTTTCCGAGATCTCAGCGTTCATACGGACAGACAGACAGACGGACATGGCTATATCAATTTGGCTAGTGACCCTGATCAAGAATATATATACTTTATAGGGTCGGAAATGCTTCCTTCTAGCTGTTACATACTTTTGCACGAATACAATATACCCTTTTACTCTACGAGTAACGGGTATAAACATTGTAACTTTGTAGAAAGTAGGCGTTTTGATTTTTTTACCATTGCAGAGGATTGTAGTCGCCTTCGCTTGCTCTCGTGGTGCGCTTCTTCACTACGTCACTGCCTTCCACAGTGATTTTATTTGATTTGTTAAAGCTATCGGTCCATTTATTTAAAAGTTATGAGTAAATAATAAAGCTATCGGTCCATTTATTTAAAAGTTATGAGTAAATAACTAAAAATCCGATTTCAGGCAATCGAAAACACAATTTCAGGCAGTCGCCTTGCTGCTTATATATTTAAAGATCTCTCGCACTTTTTTAGCTAAGTGACTGGTATTTGATAGTGGAGACATTCTCTTTTTAAGGTCAAAACTATTTCCTTATTTACAAAAATTGCTACAAAAATTAAAAAATGGAAGTTTGTATTTAAACGTATATATTTATTACTTTTTTAACTTAATATTACAGTGATTTCAGTATGTCCCCAACCACCGTTTGAAACATACACGATAATGCGCAGTCAAAACGTTTTAAGCAGAGCTGTCTCAGACCGAGAAGGAGTTGTCCAAACCTGAGATAATTCGATTGCTGCATAGTATACCGTGCTAATGAAACCAGAGCGGCGTTTGAGTGGCTTCCTAGGATGACGGCGTACTCCGTACTGATAGCCAGGTCTGTAAATAAATATATAAGCGATATAAGAAAACTATAACATCAGATTATAAGTAGTTTTTAAATACCGAATTAATGATTAATGAGTAAAAAGGATCACTTTCCGTATTATATGTAAAATCTAAACACATAATTTTAAAACAACAACATGTATGTGGCCGCAAAAATGTGACGAATAGTATAGGGGGAATTATAAACAAACGAAACCTGTAATATTTTAAAGAGGCCGTCTAAAGGTACCAAACAAGCCATGTTTGGACAAAATCTATGGTAAAATAGATTTTATTTAGATTTTTGAAATTTGCAACATTGATCAACGGAAGGGAATTTATGTTAATCAGTTAGTCAGTATTTCGATGCTCTAGCTCTTACGGTTTGGGCTGTGGTCGTATTCCCTTAAAATCGGTCTTTCATTTTATAATCTTTAGAGATGAATGTGATCTACGTAAAAGTAGTGCATTTTTATACTCTCTATCAATTACAATGTTTTAATTTGCGCACAAATAAGTATACTTGTTTGTAAATTGGAATTTGTTGTTTTCAAAATTGTTGTTTTGCATGAAACGTAAACATTCGTACAACCACGAAAGGATTGGCATACCATACAAAAGTAACGAATATAACTTATTATTTTTAGATTCCACATTTGATCGATAATTATTAATTTTAAACTCGAAAAATTTTGCATTTGCTGAAAGGAAATTAATATTTATACCCGTTACTCGTAGAGTAAAAGGGTATTTTGTATTCGTGCAAAAGTATGTAACAGCCAGAAGGAAGAGTTACCGACCCCATAAAGTATATATATTAATGATCAGGGTCACTAGCCGAGTCGATCTACACATGTCTGTCTGTCCGTCTGTATGAACGCTGAGATCTCAGAAACTACAAAAGCTAGAAGGTTGAGATTTCCCACACATATTCTTTGGCTTCCTACGCAGCGCAAGATTATTTCAACCGAGCGCCACGCCCCCTTTAACGCCCACAATCGCCCACTAACGATTTTAACATGGGTCCAGCGCCCACATCTTTAAAGATTTCCGAGAAGTATAAATGCAATTTTGTTGTGTATATTTATACCTATCGAAATGTAGAAGACATTTTTCAAATCGGACCATTCATTAAAAAGTTATACGCAATCAAAATTTATATCTATATCTCCCTCGCTTTCCCTTTAGCTGAGTGACGGGTATTAGATAGTCGGGACACCAACCCGAGTACAGCGTTCGCACTCCCTTTAGCTGAGTGACGGGTCTTAGATAGTCTGGACACCAACCCGACTATAGCGCTCTGTCTTGTTTTTGTTGCTGGGATTGCTTGTGTTGTTGCCCCAGATATTTTGTGACAGGGAAAGCATTTGGTATTGCAGCTTGGTCTTGCTGTACTGCCCTTGGCGGTAAAACTTTACTTTTTACTGCAGAACATTATTAAATCAGTTGTTAATGAAATATTTAATCCAATTATACACACATTTAGATCGATTTTTTAATTTTACAACAGAAAAATCGATAGAACCACCCAAATAGGCTCACACCTCTGATCCTTAATTATTGGCTTATAATGGTTTTAGTCGGTAAATTTTAGCTTTTATGATAAGTTTCTACTCTTAATAGTGTTAAATTAATCGAAAAGGTACAAAATGATTTTAAAATGTAGTTGTTTTTGCATTTCAACCACCACATTTTAGTATTTTTTGTTATTATCGTTTTTGTGTGTTTCCCAAAGGTGACGACAGTGTAAGATCGTCCAGCTAAAAACTTTTTGTAATACTAATAAACATTGTTTAATTTAAAAAAAATTGCCGATTTAAAACATTGCGTTTAAACATTTTTTTTTAGAGTATTAACGCTGGCACTACTATTTTAATGAGCGGTCGATTTTTAACATAATTTTTAAAAATTGGTATGAACTTGGTATAAACCAAAATTTGGATCGGGTTTTTGTAATTCTGAATTCGACTCTATGTAGTCTTATCTAACAAAAGAATCCGAAACGGTTTCAATCGGTATAGAAATATAGCCACAGTGAAACTTTTAAGAAGTAACGTAAGTGCACTACTATTTTCATGGTCACAGCTGTATATTTAGACCACAAGGATCATTTTTTCTTTTTAACTAGTCGAGTTAACCAGGATCCCCTTGAAAACATATTTGCGCCGATGATGACGTTATGTTGCCAGTAGAGTTTGATTCAATTATTTACCAGCCTTGAATTGAAAAAACAGAAATGCAGCAGCCAGAATATTCTGTATAATTTTATAATTTATAGTTATTTATTTAAAGTTAGCAAATGTAAAGCAAATATAATAATAAAAAACTTTTTACTGAAAAAATTGAAAAAAATGGCATTGAAAAAACAATCTAAACGAGGACGGAATCTAATATTTAATTTAATACCCTTGCAGATTTCACGAACCAAAACTTGACTAGAATAGCAACATAAATTAATAAACAACAAAATATTCTATAATTGAAAAAAAAAACAAGAAAGAAAGCTAGCTTCGGGCAGCCGAAGCTTATATACCCTTCCAGATCATTCCTATTAACTTACAAATCGCAAAAATTTTAAATTTCGTATTATTTTAATATTATTTTTTCCATCCTTCCCTATTGCAGCTATATAATATAGTCGTCCGATTTTTGTTAAATTTAATTCAAAACTCTGAAATATAAAAAAAAATCATATCCTAGAGTATAAGAGAATACAATAAAAACCAACGGAGCTATAATTTGTTTCCAATTAATTTCCCATTATTTTTCAATCGTTCCTATGGCAGCTATATGATATAGTCGTCCAATTTTGATAAAATTAAAATTGAAATTCGGAAATATTTAAAAAGAGTCATGTCCTAAAGTAGAAGAGAATACAATAAAAACCAAAAAAGCTAAAATTTATTTCCTATTACTTTCCCATTCATTTTCCGATCGTTCCTATGGCAGCTATATGATATAGTCGTCCGATTTTTTAAATATTTTATTCAAAATTCGGAATTATTTAAAAAATAATATTTCCAAGAGTAGAAGGTTTTATTTCAAAAAACACCGAAGCTAGATTTTTTTTAACGTTTTTTTCCTATGGGAGCTATAAGATATAGTTGTCCGATCCAGTTGGTTCCGACTTATATACTACCTGCAATAGAAAGAAGACTTTTGGGAAAGTTTCATCGCGATAGCTTCAAAACTGAGAGACTAGTTTGCGTAGAAACGGACAGACAGACGGACAGACGGACGGACAGACGGACATGGCTAGATCGACTTGTCTAGTGATGCTGATCAAGAATATATATACTTTATGGGTTCGGAAATGTCTCCTTCACTGCGTTGCAAACTTCTGACTGAAATCATAATACCCTCTGCAAGGGTATAACAAGAAAGGAAGCTACCTTCGGCCAGCCGAAGCTTATATACCCTTGCAGATAAAGTAATGCTCACTCGGTGCAGTTTCAGGGATTCCAGATTCACCGTTTCTATTTAAATTTTGTTTTTAAGTAGTCAAGAATCAAAACGCCTACTTCTTTGAATATTCCTATGGAAGCCTTAAGATATAGTGTTCCGATCCGGCTCGCTGCGACATATGTACTACCTGCAATAGAAAGAAGACTTTCGGGAAAGTTTCATCGCGATAGCTTTAAAACTGAGAGGCTAGTTCGCATAGAAACGGACAGACGGACATGGCTAGATAGACTCGGCTATTGGTGCTGATCAAGAATATATATACTTTATGTGGTCGGAAACGTCTCCTTCACTGCGTTGCAAACATCTGACTGAAATTATAAAACCCTCTACAAGGGTATAAAAATTAAATTCACTTTAATAATTTTCTAGCTTTTAAATATCTGATTTAGCTATTTAGTGACCCGGCTGCCAACACCAATTATTTTTGTTTACATGTCGCCGCCTATGATAAATCTTAAATTTGGACTCTGTCATCCGAAAAAAGTGGAAAAATCCGAACTTTAAAAATCCACCATAAATCCAATTTTCCATCGATTTGGGCCAAATCCGGCTTGTTTTATTCGGTAGGATGTAAACTTTAAGTTAGTACCCATTATGATTTTTCAACGGATTTATTTCGAGTTTTTACGATATATACAGCCGACTTACAGACGACCAAAAAACACATTTTTCATCTTTGTCGAGCTTCTGCTCTGCCATTACTCATCCAATCGTATTGATCTGTATGGCAAAGTTAAGCTCTGATCTATTGACTTTAAAATAAAACTAAAACTGGCCCAATCAAGCGGATATCTGCCGAGATATAAGAAGAAATTCAAAAAAAGTCCGAAATTTAACATTTCGAACTTTAAAAAATCTTTAAAAAAAAACTGTGCCATCGAAAAAAAAAATTAGTGCTATTTTCGTAATATAGGGGTCCAACACTAACAGAATTTGCCATCAATTGCTGGGGAGCACACCAAGAATATTATTTTGTAAACTAGTGTATTTTGTCCTTTGAAAACTATTTAAAAAAACATGTCTTTTTTAAATCTTTTTAAAATGATTATGGATTGTTTGTATAAGTTAACAGATGGACAAAACAGAAACAAACAGATTCCTTTTTCGACACAAATCCTTACACTAATTTCATTCAAAACATTAGTTTTACGTAGCTCTCCAACAACCAATATAATAATTTATATTAAGATTTAAAAAATTTGAGGGAATATTTTTAATTTAAGTTCGCCTTGAAATGTTAGAACCGCTTCAAAATGTGATGGGATGTTTATCCTTCGACAGTTAAAAAAAAAATGAATGCCAGAGATAGGATTATTTTAGGCTTATTTTTATTTCATCGGTCCCTTAAAACAAATCCTGTTGATATTGGCCTTGCTACCTCGTTCTACATTTTCTAGTTCGATTTTCAGTCTATTTTTTGCTTTTTAAAGATGCAATTTTTAAACTATTTATTTAAACTATTACAAACCAGATACTCTTGGCGAATTTGCTATCGGGGGGTTTTTGGAAGGTATCCATAGTAGACAACTATTATAAGGGAAACAAGT